ACGGAAAAAGAATGTATGAAAACAATTCCATTTACAATAGCCTCAAAAAAATCAAATACCTAGGTGTAAACCTAACAAAAGATGTGAAAGACCTCTACAAGGAAAACTATACACTTCTGAAGAAAGAGATTGAGGAAGACTATAGAAAGTGGAGAGATCTCCCATGCTCATGGATTGGTAGAATCAACATAGTAAAAATGTCGATACTCCCAAAAGTAATCTACATGTTTAATGCAATTCCCATCAAAATTCCAATGACATTCATTAAAGAGATTGAAAAATCTACTGTAAATTTATATGGAAACACAAGAGGCCACGAATAGCCAAGGCAATACTCAGTCAAAAGAACAATGCAGGAGGTATCACAATACCTGACTTCAAACTATATTACAAAGCAATAACAATAAAAACAGCATGGTACTGGCACAAAAACAGACATGAAGACCAGTGGAACAGAATAGAGGACCCAGATATGAAGCCACACAACTATAAGCAACTTATCTTTGACAAAGGAGCTAAAAATATACGATGGAGAAATAGCAGCCTCTTCAACAAAAACTGCTGGGAAAACTGGTTAGCAGTCTGCAAAAAACTGAAACTAGATCCATGTATATCACCCTATACCAAGATTAACTCAAAATGGATCAAGGATCTTAATATCAGACCCCAAACTCTTAAGTTGATACAGAAAGAGTAGGAAATACTCTGGAGTTAGTAGGTATAGGTAAGAACTTTCTCAATGAAACCCCAGCAGCACAGCAACTAAGAGATAGCATAGATAAATGGGACCTCATAAAACTAAAAAGCTTCTGTTCATCAAAAGAAATGGTCTCTAAACTGAAGAGAACACCCACAGAGTGGGAGAAAATATTTGCCAACTATACATCAGACAAAGGACTGATAACCAGAATATATAGGGAACTTAAAAAACTAAATTCTCCCAAAACTAATGAACCAATAAAGAAATGGGCAGTGAACTAAACAGAACTTTCTCAAAAGAAGAAATTCAAATGGCCAAAAACACATGAAAAAATGCTCACCATCTCTAGCAATAAAGGAAATGCAAATTAAAACCACACTAAGATTCCACCTCACCCCTGTTAGAATAGCCATCATCAGCAACACCACCAACAACAGGTGTTGGCGAGGATGCGGGGAAAAAGGAACCCTCTTACACTGTTGGTGGGAATGTAGACTAGTACAACCACTCTGGAAAAAAATTTGGAGGCTACTTAAAAAGCTGGACATCGATCTACCATTTGATCCAGCAATACCACTCTTGGGATATACCCAAAAGACTGTTACTCCAGAGGCACCTGCACATCCATGTTTATTGCGGCACTATTCACAATAGCCAAGTTATGGAAACAGCCAAGATGCCCCACACTGACGAATGGATTAAGAAAATGTGGTATCTATACACAATGGAATTTTATGCAGCCATGAAGAAGAACGAAATGTTATCATTCGCTGGTAAATGGATGGAATTGGAGAACATCATTCTGAGTGAGGTTAGCCTGGCCCAAAAGACCAAAAATCGTATGTTCTCCCTCATATGTGGACATTAGATCAAGGGCAAACACAACAAGGGATTGGACTATGAGCACATGATAAAAGCGAGAGCACACAAGGGAGGGGTGAGGATAGGTAAGACACCTAAAAAACTAGCTAGCATTTGTTGCCCTTAATGCAGAGAAACTAAAGCAGATACCTTAAAGCAACTGAGGCCAATAGGAAAAGGGGACCAGGAACTAGAGAAAAGGTTAGATCAAAAAGAATTAACCTAGAAGGTAACACCCACGCACAGGAAATCAATGTGAGTCAATGCCCTGTATAGCTATCCTTATCTCAACCAGCAAAACCCCTTGTTCCTTCCTATTATTGCTTATACTCTCTCTACAACAAAATTAGAGATAAGGGCAAAATAGTTTCTGCTGGGTATTGAGGGGGGGGAGCGGGAGGGGGTGGAGTGGGTGGTAAGGGAGGGGGTGGGGGCAGAGGGGAGAAATGAACCAAGCCTTGTATGCACATATGAATAATAAAAGAAAAATGAAAAAAAAAAGTTGTTTGACATTAGACTGAAATTAGGCTGAGTTCTCCTTGTGGCTAAGTATCACATAGTACATATTTATATATACTAAATTCTTAGCACAGATGATAGGTGTTCAAAAATATGTTAGTTGGAGTAGTCAACTGATTAAGATTTATATTCATACTTTTGTTTTGATGGTATTTTCAACTGTGACTGGTAGTAGTTTTAAAATTCAATTTCATACTATAATGAAAAGAACCTTTATAATGCTATCCCCACCCAGCACAACAATAAAAAAAAATGCTAAGCAAAGCAGATACAAGGGAATATAAGGAATAAAATATGAATTTTCCAGTATTATTCAGTCAGAACAACTAAACCCCTGAAAAAACAAACAGTTGAGACAATGATACCACTGTTCTATTTGATGACCAACAGATAGTTTGCCTTGAGAAAAAGTGTCTCCGTAGGTTCAAAGGGTTGTACTTCCATCTCATATTTACCTGCGGTCAAATATTAAGATCACTATGACAACGTATATTGACTTGTCAGAGCCAAATAAAATCTCTGGTATGCTTATTTAATCTTCAAGAAGGTGACTTGAGAACATAATTTCATCTGTAATGTGAGGTTTGTGAAGCCAGTATAAAACTGAGGTGTGTGGGGCACCAACGTAGAGACCTTTACTACAAAGACTTCCAACTAATTCTCATTGATAATTGAAAGAAAAGGAAGGAAATGGGAAAATGAGTGCTTCAAATTGGTCAGTATATTAGAAGAGGTAAAAGTACAGGATATTAGTCTATGCTCGACAAGTTAAATTCTAATAACATGATTGATACCATTTACTGAATGCTCTGTAAGGACCTGATGCTATTTTAAATATACTATATGTGATCCTCATAATATTCATTCAAGGTGGACTTCATCATCCCACATGTGTAGAGTGAGAGGCTCAGAAAACTTAAAGTAATTTAATATCTTATTCTAAGTGGGAGACCTTGAATGTCAAATTAGCTTTATCTGATTATAATGTCCACGCTCTTTCTATTAGACCATAGTGACTCAAAAATCATCACCTTTTAGATGCCAGAAAATTCCAAAGACAAGGGGATCGCTAAGCTAAAGTTTGCATACATTGATATGACCAGTAGCCTGCATGGCACTGTATAAATAAGAAGGGAGATGGAGTGGAGTGTACATAGCTTATATTTGTTAACACAAACATACTTACAACTCAGTATTATTTAAAAATTCATTCTAAGGTCATATGTCAAGTCTCTTGGTCAGATGTATGAAATTGCTAAACCAGGTGCCTAATTTTGAAATGAAATTGAAATAGTTAAAGAAATAGTGCACATAAAATCTATATTCAGACCCTGGCACATGACAGGCACTTAATGGATATTTATTATTCTATTATTTTTATTAATAAAACAAATCCTTATGGACTTTATTTTACTTTTTTTTTTTTGTGGTGCTGGGGATCAAATCCAGGGCCTCACACGTGCTAGGTTATAATTCTCCACTTAGCCATACTCTCAGCTCTTTATTTTTATCTTTATTTCTGTGTGGTGCTGAGGGTTTAAACTCAGGACATCACACGTTAGGCAACTTTTCTACCAATGAGCTCTTCCCCCACTCTTAGGGACTTCCTAAATTATTCTACTGCACACACAATATCTCAATATCCTCTGATTAAATAGAACGAAGAAAAATTTTGGTTAAATCTGAAGTTATTATTTTTTCTTTCTTTCTCTACTGCTTTCTCTAGTTCACTATCATAAGTATAAATACCATAGTTCAAACTCACATTAAGAAAGATTAAAAGTATAAAGAGGGATTGGGATTATCAAAGTTAATAGCTGCATCCTAAGGAATACATTATTATCAAGCTTAAAGAATTAACAGCCCCTTAGTTTAATAAAAACTGAAATTACTAGTAGTTACAGTTGGGGAAAAAAAACCATTTTGCTACAAAGAATTCTTGATTTGGAATTCAACACAAAAATAAAGTCCACTAGCCGTACAACTAAAATTTTACATTGCTATGGTTACCTGTTAAATGAAGATAACTCAGCTATAAAAATTCAAGGAAATATAAAGACTGCTGCATTATTGCCAGTTAGAGTAGCAAGTAGGGCTTCAGGTACAGGTGATCTATGTTCAAAATATACATGGCCATGCCAGTGCTCAGTATGTTTTTGCATTTGGATACCTCTAAGAATGACATTCAGTCTTAGGTCTCGCCTGCTACCAGTGAGACTTGCCCACCCCTAAAAACATTTGAATACACGACTCTGGCTATACATATGACATTGAACTTGAAGGTTTAAGAAGAAATAAAAACTAAGGAACTGCTAGTTTCCTAACAACCGCTCCCCTCAATCGCACATTTTTAACCATAATTCTCTTTGTGTAGAATATTTTGTATGCAATGTATTCTTTCTTAGCAACTATGACAAAATCTGAGGAACTGACATTGTAGGAAGTATGAGAGAATAAATTTATAAGTATTCAAATTCCACACTTATCTTTCTATATGAAGATATGATTGCTGAAGCAATTTCATTAAAAGCTTTCCCTGAACACTTCCATCAAAATTGAGAAAGGGTGAAAGAACAGTTTTAATCTCAACATTCACTCAATTAAAAAGAGAAAACATGAAAGCCACCTCTGCTTAGTAACTTGTTAGTTCTTGATCAATTCACAACACAACAATAAGCCACTCGGAATGAGTTTTGAAGGCGAGGTCATGCCCTTCGTGTTGTGTTATCACTGTGGCAGGTCACAGTGCTGACTTGGACCTTTCTGCCAGCCTCACAGCCGCCTGTATGAAGCGCCTGTCACTGACGAGTCATGGTGCCTGCGTGCACCTGCACAGAGGCACGAAATTGAACTCGAAGTAGTGTCTTTGTGATATCTTTTCAACAAGTCATGTCCCATCCAGCCTGCTAGTTTATCTCTGTCAGGCTATGGGTCCAAGTGGCTTGCGGGAGCTGTCAGGGACAGGTAGACCAACCTGCTTTGTGCTGAGGAGGTAATGCATCTTTCGGGCTTGGTAATCTCTTTGCTTCTCTTCCCTTTCCAGGGCAGCCTTCTTCTCTTCTCTCTCTTTCATCTCTGCAAACTCCTCCAGAGCCTCCCTGCATCAAAACCCACTGTAGTTATTTATGATACTATCTGTTGATATTCTGATTCTTTCACCGAGGATAATCAAGTTTTCTGAGGGGCAAACCACCACCCACATCCATCAAAATCAGTGGTGTAATCTATCTTAACTGAACATTCTGTGTGAATCTTTGCAATTTTCTGAAAGCATTTAAGTGATTTTACAGTGATTGAATTAAATAAATCAAATGATTATATATTATAATGAATTCAATAATGAGGCAATACTAAAATCAAATGCAGAGTAAGTTTCTTTAGTTGAAGATTAGCTATTTTGGAAATACTTAAATATTCCAAGAAAGCATTTCGAGCTACTTATTTCCTTTAAATTTTGGTTTTTGTACTTTAAAATCTCTACTTATTTTGTATATTAATTTATGGGCTAATTTAAAAGGTACAGATTTTGTGCAACTGCTTAATTGAGTACAAGTATACTTGTACTCAAGTTCAAATAATATCAATATGATTACATATAATTCAACATTTAAAAGACTGACATTTTCTTCAAGTATATAGATAATTAGAATAAATGATTAGATGAGTAAGTTGAAGTCTTTCTCAAGGATGATAAATTCCTTTACAATAATGAAAAAATCCATCACCTATCTTTAAACAAAAACTAAGTTTTTAAACATAGTATGTGAAAAACACTTTCTAAACAGACTATTATGATATTATCAAATACGGGAAAATACCTACATCATTTATTTTGATAGGACAAATTTAACTATTCATGTCAAAATAATATTTTAAAATTTCACTTTATTCTTTTTTTTATAAAAATAGATTTAATACTTAGTTTTGTAAGTACAATTTTAAATCATCAGAACATTTTTCTCAGATATGAAAGTAGAGGGAAATACTCCAACAATAAAAATGATTCTCCTCTCTACTTCAATGTCTAGAAATATTTTTGCTGCAATTTCCTGTTAAAGGCTACTAATACAATACTTCACACAAGGTTACTTATGAAACACACTGACGTTTAAAAATCACCATGCTATGGTATTGCAGCAGAGCAATTTTTTTCAACATAAGATTAAATTGCAAAATAAATGAATTACTTGGAGTGCCATGGCCCCCATTTTGTCACCTTTCTCTTGAAATTGCTTATTAATATGAAAAAAGGAGTTGGAAAATAGCCTGTTTTATTTTATGCATAGTATTTTGAGGGGGTTCTGCACCCGCAGAGCTGGGCTAGCTGCACATTTGGATTGTGTTGGCAAGCTGGTACAATGACCTTTCTGACCTGCATCTCAAGGCTATTATTAATCGCTAAGTAACCTGGTAAAGCCAAACAAATTTGTTTCCATTGAAAGGATCTCTATCTGTGTCTGAGAATTTGTTCTGTACCAAACAAACCTCATTAACTGTGTCTATTTTTGACAAAGAACTAGGAGTTAAGAGGGATTGGTGACCTTTCTTTGTCCTTAAGGTACAAATTTCAAGGCAGTAACATATGAAACAAATGAAAATTTTTACCCGGAAAAACAAAAGTCACACATTACATGAAAAAGTGAGTACATTAACAATTATAATCTTTACTTTTTACTTTTGACATAATGTAAGGATAAATAGTTCTTCTTTAATTCCTCTTACAAGCCTTCAAGACAATTTAGAATAACAACTGGACTTACTAATTATCCTATTTTACAAATATGGAAACACAAAAAGAGTTTAAATGGCCTGCCCCAATTAGCAAATCAGCTAATGGCAGAAATAGAATTAGAACCCCCAGATTAGGCTGTAGTCATCATCTCAACATGGGAATACACAGATGATATTTTTGATTGAATTGGCCACATATATTTTTTTTTGTACATTTTCATATATTGTACTGTGATCATAGTTATCCTCCCAGTATATCATTTCTTATTTTATAATCCTGATTTATACTATATAAAAATTTGGACTCCCAAGACTTTCTGCATCATTTTCATTGTCTATTAAATATTTTATGGGGAACAGGAAGAACAAGGAAACATGGCAGCTATGGTTGCTGTTTGCGGTAGTCTAGGGAGGAAGAGGTTGACACATTGGGTAAGGGCTGCTGTCTGCTCCCAGACCATGGAACTCACATGGTGCTGTATTGAAGAGGTCGTTCACAGTATAAACAGGTAACCAGCAATGAAGACCTGCCCATTTCCAATGGATAGTCATTATAAGAAGCCTCTTAAAAAGTGTATCTAGTGTGGGAAACATGTAGATTATACTTTTTCCCAATTTATTTTCCATTTGTTGGATGGATGCTTTTATGGAAGGTATATCACAGGTCTTTGTGGGAAGAAACAAAAAGAAGTAACAAAAGCAATTATGAGAGCTCAAATAATGGAGTTTATTGCCAGTTACATACAAGGATCCTGTATATCTTAAAGGCCCTAAAGTTTGTAATATCAAATATAAGGAATAAATTATATGAGGTTACTGTCAATAAATTTATTTTATAATAAATAATTGTGATATTAATTTAAAAAGAAAGATTAAAAACTACTTTATTTTTTGCAAAGATTCACATATTTTAATATATTTTTAATGAAATCTGCTGTGGTAATAAAATATTTACATATGCTAGTAATAAAACAATGATAAAAATAATAGCCATTGGGGAGGCAACATGATAGAGTAGTCAGTAGAATGCACTCTGAAATGGCATCGGGTTATAAAAGCTCTGCTGTGTAACTTACTAATTATTTAAAATCTGAGCTTCAATATCCTCATCTATAAAATGCAAATATAGCAAATATATTAGCATTACTATCTTTTTCATCAAGGTATTGTGAAGATCAAATAAGCTAAACTTTGAAAAATACACAGAGTAGTGACTGGCATATAGTTAAGTTGCTATATAAGTGCTAGCTACTTCTTTAACATTTAATGTCGACTACATACTAGTCTACTTTCTTCATCTACAATGACTCTATTGTGCTTTCCCTAACTCCCTTGATGGTCTCCTTTCTGTCTCCTGATGAATGTATACTTTGTGGATGAAATTATATAACACAGAGCATGAGCTCTGACTTTCTAAAAGACATGAGTCATAACACAAACCTTAAGCCAGAAAAAAGAAAAACCGTGCAAACAAATTTCACGTTTCTCTGACTTCTACATACTACTCAGGAGTGGTTTTACCTTGCAAACCTGGAGAAACCCTGAGTGACTAAGTATAACAAGCATATCTGCTGGGCTGCATTGCATCACCATGGGACTCTGTGAAGCTGTGACTAAGGTTGTTGGTGCTCCACCATACCACATTCCTCCAACTTCTGGGAGTGTTGGCTGCTGATTGCTCATAACTGTGTCTAACTGAGAGGAAATCAGCTATCCCTACCCAGGTTTTGTTATCGTCTTTCCCCAGTCTGCATCCAAGGACTGGGAGTTAAGGAAGGAGAGATCCATAGGCCCAGAGCCTAGACCTAAGGACCACTGTAAAGGGTCATCCAAATTTCAGAGCTTCCGGACATTAGCTGGGATCACTGATACATTTCAAATTGCTCTACCACCCCTTCTCTTAGAGATGCTATTCCCAAAATTTGCTCCCCAATAAATCTTGTACATCAAATCACTGTCTCAGAGTCTGTTTCCATCTGTAGTACTTCACACCCTCTTTTCCTCATTGCATTTTAATCTTTCAGTTATGTTTTGCCTTCATGGGGTTCCTGCGTATGGTATATACACTATCTCATTGGGCAAATTTTATCAACCCTCTTTTACAGATTAGCATTAGGAATGAGATTCACAGAGATTAAATCTCTGTCTAAATGCCCACAACCAAAGTTGAATATGAATCCAGGACTGACTCCAAAATCCATGGCTTTAACCATAATGTTTTACTCACAATCTATATTTTGTCTAATATAGTATTTTATTTCAATATCAAAAGGACTACTGTTTTTGAGATGGTAACTTTGAAGATTATAGTAATATTTTTTCAAGCATACAAAAAGAAAAAGGTTGTCTGTGCACAGGAAATTAATGTGAGTCAACTCCCTGTATAGCTATCCTTACCTCAACCAGCAAAAACCCTTGTTCCTTCCTATTATGGCTTATACTCTCTCTACAACAAAATTAGAAATAAGGGCAAAATAGTTTCTGCTGGGTATTGAGGGGGTAGAGGGAAGAGGGAGGGGGCGGAGTGGGTGGTAAGGGAGGGGGTGGGGGCAGGGAGGAGAAATGACCCAAGCCTTGTATGCACATATGAATAATAAAAAATAAATAAATAAATAAATAAAAGGAAAAGGTTGTCTGATTTGGAATAACTTAAACTATTACTCCCCTTTCATCATCAGATCATAACATTTTAACTGGTCAGTTATGTGAAGCGATGGAATATGACTTTAATTTGCAGCCACAAGTCTCTCTTCCTTAAAACATATTTTCTACATGCTATATTCTGGGTAAGTAAAGAATGCTTTTTATAAAAAGAGGGTGAAACTGAAAGGAGGGTAAAAAGCTCTTTAGGCCAATGCAACTAATAAATAATAAAAACCTACAAGGGCTTTGAGAACCAGCCCTCGCTCATCCCTCCCTTTCACTATGTGCTACTTTCTCCTATGATCACCATACTTCCACGGGGTTTTTCTGTAGTAATTAAGTAATGAGGGTGGCCCTCACAGAATGGGATTTGTGCTATTATGAGAAGAGACACAAGACACGCTCTATCTTTCGCCAGTGTCTGAGGATACAATGAGAAGACAGTCACCTGCCAACAAGGCAGGGTACCCTCAGCAGATTCTGGATGTGTTGGCACCTTGATCTTGGACTTCTCATTCTGTAGAATTGTGAGAATAAATTCCTATTGTTTAAGCTACCCAAAATCTCAGCTTTTTTTATAGTGACCCAAATTGACCAAGTCACATCCTAAAGGTCAAGACTGAAGTTTATTCACTAATGTGCCCCTTCCAAAATAAGTGGCCTAATAGCTGGTATTAGACACTGCTGGGTTAACATTGGTATAAAATTCAGTGCAATAGCATCC